AGGTGCCGCCCCGCGCGCGCGAACTAGAACTCTTGTTTACCAGTAACCTGAGATCTTAGCAGGCCTCTGGCCCGTCGGGCCGGCGAATTGCGAATCATGAAGCGAAGAGTTTGGCTCGGCTAGCTGCGACAGACGGGGAGTTGTTTATTTGGAAGACGGGGGTGGAAATGTCAGGGTCATTGTTAGGAGGGGATCGGCTCGGAGGGGAGATGCATCCACCCCCAATGGCCCGTTGGACGCCGATACGGGTCCGATAGCCCACCCCGTCCAGGACAGCATGCATGCAGTCAACATTCGTACAGTCAGAACGCGGAGATAAAGTCCACTTTGGGCGCCTGAGCTGCTCTGGTTTTCGGGCCGTTCCTTCGATCTAGGCCGGGGAACCTGTTCGTGGCCGAGGCTCGCCGTGGCCAGAAAAGCCCCTTCGTTGACTATTGAGCTCTCCTTGTGGTAGCACGACGGCTCTATACCGTAGCCGGAAGTACAACCCGTAAAGAGCCAAGCATGGTATGATATGTGAGGGTTTCTCGAATTTATGGGGCATGCAATGGAAATACAACCCGTAAGGAGAGAATCATTTGATGATATGTATAGGAAATCCCGAAAGGACAGAGCACGCAACGATCAGTAGACATCAGAACCAGAACACCACCGCACTGACCCAGCATACCCACATTGCAAGGAAGTAAGATGAAACCATCGGTAGATGCGACAATCCATGCAACAGTGCACAGACCCTGCAGGCGCTTTTCCTGCAGGCGCATGCTAACAGGGATACTGGCACCCCTGCCGAGAACGGCACTGCATGCCATGAATACCCGTGAGCCTCGTCTTTGCTGAGAACTTTTGGACGTTTGTGCGGTGAGGATGAGGGCGATGAAGGCAGGCGGGAGTCGGTGGCGCGCACAACGGGGGAGAGGAGGCAGATGGGGGTTGGCCTTCTCAGAGGGCGGCGGGGCCTCTCAGAAGCCCCCACGCCCTCTGAGAAGCTGCCCGTATCTTCGGAGCAGGCCACGAAGTGGGAGGAGGAAGAGGTACCCGTACCGGTACCCTCGCCTCGTTTCCCTTTTTTGGAGATCTCCTGGGAAGCCCTCGTCGCCACCGTTGGATTCGCTTCGAAATTCTAGACGCTTCGCGTATCCCCACCAGCCCGTCCAGAAACGACGCCCAGGCGAGTAGAGGGTCGTCCTGAGGGGCTTTTCGGCGTCTTGGGTGCCTCGGGGGGGCCTCTGTGGGCCGTTCGGGATCCCCTTTGGGGCCTCCTGGGGGCCTCTTGGGGCCTCTTGGGGCCATCATGGGGCCTCTGGGAGCACCTTGGGTGCCTCTGGGGGGTCTCTTGGGGCCTTATGGGGGTCTCTTGGGGGCCTCCTGGGGGCCTCTTGGGGGCCTCTTGGGGTCATCTTGGGGCCATCCTGAGGCCTCTTGGGGCATCCTGGGGGCCTCTTGCGGCCATCGTGGAGGAAATCGATCAAAGAAGAGGGGTTCCTTAATTAGAACCCCCCCCAGGAACTCCAAAAATCGTCTCCTGTACCGCTCTGGGACCGCTCTTGGAGCGCTCTTCGGCGCTCTTGGCGCCGTCATGGGGCTTTCTTGGGCCCTTCTTGGAGCTATCTTGAGCCATCTTGGAGCCATCTTGACGCCTCGGATGTGCATCGCAAGCGAAAAAGTGAGAACACCAAAAACATTGATTTTCCCTAGGGTTTTGAAGCATTTTGGCCTCTTGGATGCATCCTAATGATGCTCTTGTGGGCACTTGGAACCGTCTTGGAGAGTTCTTGGAACGTCTTGGAACATCATGGGGACCATCTTGAGGCATCTTGCGCTATCTTGAGCCATCTTGGAGGGTATCTTGGGCTCCCTGAGGCCCTCTTGGAGCCGTCTTGGGCCATCTTGGGCGCTCCAACGCGCCGCGGAACCCCCTGTCCAGGTCAGTGGGGAGGGGGTAGGGGGAGGGGTAAACCCCTCCCCGAAGGGGAAGAAGGAGGGGTGGAAGAGGAAACGCTCTAAACCACCGACGCCCAGAGGGCTGGTGGGATTCTGGTTAGACCGCGCACCCTGGGAGAGGTCCAGGGAGTAACGGTTTCTCGTGAGAAGACCCGCCGCCTTCTGAGAAGGCCGGCCGCCTCCCCCGACATCTGGCGTCTCGACGGTCCGGCGCGGGGCCCCCCGACGTCCGGATATCCAGGGCCCGCTTGTGGTCCCGTGGGGCTTTGGGACAGCCACCGGGGCTTGGCGAGGGCCCCGAGAGGCCGACAACGGAGACACGTCTCCCCTTTCTGCGCCCCCCCCCCAGGATGAGAGGTCTCCGCCTGCCATTCCGGCGAGACCGCACTCTTGGAAAGGATCCACCCTGCGCGCTTCCAGCTCAAAGAGGCGCAACCATGCCAGATCGTGGAGTCGAGAAGTAAGTGTTGAAGCATAGCCCGGCTTTGACAAGGAGCCGAAGGAGTCGCCTTCGCGCAAGAGTGGCCCTTCGTCAGAGTGACCTTCGTCATGGGCGAAAAGCATATCTGTATCCGCGGCCTCGTGGGCTGGGCCCCTGGGCCGCGACCCCGCGGACGCGGGACGCCTTCTCGCGGATGCCCCGCGCGGAACGTTTCCGTGCGACCGCGCATCCGCGGGACCGCGCCCCAGAACGCAGACCACGAGTCGCAGGACTAGAGATTGACACCAACACCAATGTCGGGGGTGTGCATCCACCGATGGAAGAAGAATCCGATCTCGGTGATGGTTGTAATATTCTGGCTTCCAAGGTGATCGAAATATTACCACCAACACCGAAATCTAGGATCATCTTCCCCCTGTGGAGGCAAACCCCTGTATTGGTGTTGGTGCCCATTTCCAGGCTGCCCAACGAGGGCGCGGACACGGCTAATTATGTGCGCCGCCACCCGCAAGCGGGAAGGTTGGTTGCTCTCGGACGGGGGGAGGGTCGCGCGGATCTGCGGCGAGGGCGGTCTCGAGTCCAGGCGCTGGCCGCACGCGTACAGGGTCGGGCTTAAATAAGGAACGCTTATTTTCAGGAGGGGAAAAAAACACAGACACAATTAATCTTCGATTCCCCAGAAACTATTGGAAAATATGCGAAGTGGGGGGGAAGACAAAAACCAAACAACTATGGGAAAATATGGGGAATCTTTTTATTTGTGTGTATTTATTTGTGTGTCCTGGGGCCCCTTCACACTCACTTTTCAAGGGGGGCTCGGTCGTTCCTTTGGTTTGCATGCGTTCCGCTACCTTTCAGGCGGCGGGTTCCTCTGGTGTTCCCTGAGATCTTGGACGCGCGAGTTCGTTGTGTCGATGAGGGTCGCTAGAAAGGGCTCGGCCGTTCCTTCGGACTTCGTAGACTCACTTGGAAAGACAGGGTCCTCGTTCCCGATGTATCGTTCCTTAGGTCCGGCCGCATCCTGTACGCAGCTCGAGCCAATCCTTCCCATGCCCGAATTCGAACAAACAAAGTGTGTGTGTGTGTGTGTGTGTCGCTCCTGCACCCCGCGCCCTCCGGCCGCCTGAGGCCCCGCCCGCCCGCGCCCTGTCTCCCCAATGAGTGCTTTGCGCGGCCCGCCGAGCTCTTAACCCGAAGAGGCTCCCTCTCGACCCGCAGACCAACAAAAAGTGTTGTGCCGCTCGTGACTCTGTGCGGGCCCGCGGGGGTCACCTCCCGCGCCGGCGTGCCCGCTGGGGCTTGATGACCCCCCACTGCCCCCCCCCCCCCCCGCCGCGGCCCCCGCAGCCGGGCACCACAGGCCATTCCCAGCTCGGGAGCCTCGAGACGGGGGTCAATGCAAACGGGGGTCAGCCAGGGCGCCGTCTTGTTTCGGTACACTTCGGGCTCATGTTCTGAGATCCTGGCTTCTGGTTGCTCGAGCATTCTTGGGTTCTACGAACATGCCGTGGTAGGCCTACAGGAATGCCGGGACGGTCGGTCCCTGCCCAAGTCGGGAGCCTTGAGACGGGGGTCAATGCAAACGGGGGTCAGCCAGGGCACAGGATCCTGCAGGATCCCGCGAAGACCCCCTCTGGCTGACCCGGGTTTGCGAGCCGCTCGTGGCCGCGAGGCGGCCGCGCGTGTTGGCTGACCCGGGCTTGCGAAGATCTGCGTTGCAGTTTTTTTTCCCCCGCATTGCAGTTTTTGGTTTCCTGCTGACCCGGGTCTGGATTGACCCGGGTCAGAAGATTCCCGATGCCAGCTGGGGTCACCCTCACGTGGATCAAGCAGTGGCGAAGCGCCCTGGCTCGCCTCCAGGCCTACCAAAAAATGTTCCAAGAACTTCTTCGTGGTTTGCACGACATGTTCCCAGAACATTTCTGGGACTGTCTTGTTTTAACACATCGGGTTCATGTTCTAAGAACATTGTTTCTGTTCTAAGAACATTCTTGGGTTCTACGAACATGTCGTGGTAGGCCTATAGGAGTGCCGGGACGGTCGGTCCCTGGTCAATTCGCGTGGAGGAGGGCGTTTTGCTCTCGACCCTGGCAGGCTTGCTCGCCCTGGCATTCTGCGACGTGCGAGCAGCACACGCACACACCTGTAGCCAGAAGGGGATCGGAGGGAGGAGGACTGGCCATGGGTGTGGGTTTGGGTTTCCGGACCGTGGGGGAGGCTCCCGTTCGAGCGGGGACCCCCATCGGACAACACGCACCTAGAGTCCCCTCCGTCCCCATTTGGGTATGGGTGTGTGTGTGTATGTGTTGTCTGTGTTGTTCGTTCGTCAGTCTGCCCTCTCTTCTCCCGCAGCCTTTTCCAACAGCGCCGGGCCGAGAATGTACTGAAGGTAGCTCCGACTTGTGTGAAGTCCAGATCTCCTTTCGGGCCTTGCCCCCCCCCTTCCCCCTCCCCCCTCCCCCCTCCCCCCTCCTCGCAAGCAAACTTCCCGGAGTCTCCGTAGCCAGTTTAGTTCAAGGACGAAGTGCTCTTTGGCATTTCGGGCGTTGTTGTCCAGCATGCAAATGGTCTATACGTGGCTGTACTTCTTTGCCACACTGCTAACTCCGACAAGGGCCGTTTATGTGACTACGCTGGAGATCCGCCACGAGTTTGGGTCTCCTGACTGCGTGGACCGCCTCGTCGTTAACGCGAACCATTCGATCCCAGGCCCTGCCATTGAGGTAGACCCGGGCGAGGAGGTGGAGATTACAGTTGTGAACAAGATGTTGTCAAACGCCGTGTCAATCCACTGGCATGGCATGGTCCACGCGGACAGCGGTCCCTGGCACGACGGCGGCTCCATGATCACCCAGTGTCCAATCCCGCCTGGGAGCAAGTGGGTGTACAAGTTCAAGGTCAACGACCACCCCGGCTTGTACCAGTACCACGGCCACATTGGTGGCATGCGGGTTGCTGGACTCGGAGGAGCCTTTATCATCAAGGGTGACGTCAGCGCATTCGCCAGCGAAGCCGATGGCGGCGAGGTTCTCATGCACTTGAAGGATTGGTGGCACGCGGAGGAGACGCAGCTTGTCCAGGGAGTTCTCGAGCCACGGTTCAGGTGGGTTGGAGACCCGCAGTCTGTCTTGGTGAACGGGCAGGGACATTTCGATTGCAGCGACAATGCCCTCTACTCGTGTGACGGCGGGACCTGCATGGAGGGAGAGCGCGAGGTCTGCGGTGCGGCGCAGAGTCCTTGGTACAGGCCTTCTTACCATCCACCCTCATGCGATTCCAGCCTTTGCCCAGGATACTTCACGACGCAGGTTACGGCGGGGAAGACGTACCTGCTCCGCTTCATCAACGGAGGCAGCCTGTCACTGTTCAGCGTTGCCATTGAGAACCACAACATGACAGTGATCGAGGTAGACGGAATGGCCACGCAGAAGCACACCACGGACACCATTGACCTCAACTCGGGCCAGCGAGTCAGCGTCTTGGTGACCATGGACCAACCACCAGGAGCGTACACTGTCAAGGTCATCACCCGGGGAAGATCGTCACAGCGAACGGGTTACGCCATCATCGAGTACGCGGGTGCCGCATCCCAGAGCGTGCAACCAGAGACTGCCAATGTGTCAACACCCGCGTGGGACGACAACAATTTCACTTTCGATTTCCAGCAGGCAATCAAAGGACTCTACACGGGGGACACCGCGGTCGCCGCGGTTCCAGACGACAGCCTTGTCCAGCGGACATTCTACATGCTCAGCACGCAGGAGCGCATGGACCACACAGCGACGTACAACGGCGTGCCCTCGGTGAACGACCTCACAGTGGCCATTGGTGGCCCTGGGGACAGGCCCCAAGACAATTGCGACTCTGCAGGAAACACCAAGAACCTGCGGTGGCTCTTGGGGAGGAGGTCGTGGATGGGCAGCAACACGCCGACACTCGCATCTCTGTACTTCGACATCAACAGAGACCAGATCTCTGAAGAACACAACTACTTCGCGGTGGATGTCGGCCAAGTGTACGACGTTGTGATCCAGAATTACCCCGCTTGCAACGGCCACTGCGAGACCCACGCTTTCCACGCGCACGGCATGCACTTCTGGGTCTTGGGCACTGGCCGTGGAGAATGGACAGGGTCGGCGGAGCAACTTGCCTCGCTGAACAAGGTTGACCCGGCGTTCCGAGACGTGACGCAGGTCGTGAGCGAGGGCGTCAATAACGAGCCGTTTGGCAAGAACTCCGACGATTTCGGCCCATGCGGTTGGACAATGATCCGGTTCAAGGTGTATTCGCCTGGGGCGTGGTATTTCCATTGCCATATGATTTGGCACATCTTGATGGGCCAGAACGCAGTCTTCTACACGCCTGCTGACACTATCCCAGCACCACCTGATGATCTGCTGTTCTGTGGTGACATGACCATGTCATCCGCTGTGGCCAAACAATCTGAAGCAACAACAACGAGCGCGACCGACTCCAACATCGAGGCCAACTCCGGACGGATGCGCCGTTTGGGGACTGCCTCTGTGGCCGCTGGAGGAGTGATGTCCTGGCTTCCGTTCTAGAGCCTCGTTTGACCTATCGGATCAGTTCCAGACTTCTTCTTGTCATCCCACCCAGCTCTGGAGGATATTTTTCGGAGTGGCTGTGCAGTGTTCCTTGGAGGGGCTATCCAGACATATTCCGCGAAGTTTGGAAACATTCAAACACCCTAGTTGTCTCCTGTCTTCTTCCTCCTCTCCTCCCTGGTTCCTCCTTCGTGGCATGTCAGGAATCTGGTAAATTCCGACTTTGTGTCACGTATGGTTATGTGTTCCAGCTCCTCGAAGGTGCTGCGCGTTGTTTGAATATAAATGTTCGTTTGGACCATGGATAGCCGCGATTTCAATGCGGCATCCGCGCGACGGACGCAGGAATCAGCCTGTGCAATCAGCTTTTCCCGCATGCTTCACATCGGCTCGTGCGTTCCCGCCAGTAGTTAGACCGACTGAGACTAGTGGTGTGCTGCTCATCGATTGTCGGCGCCCCTGGCAAACAAAAGAACATTCAAACACCAACGGAAATCTATACATATTGTGTACCCTCTTGCCTTTTCGCTTCAGATGGGCTGCCAAGGCTTCGAGATGGCCCTCAAGATGGCCCCACGAGGCCCACGGAGGCTCCCAAGAGGCCCCCACGAGGCCCCACTATGCCTCCAAACGGGGCGGCTTCGTGCTCGCCGTCGCCGCCCCGTCGCCGCCCGTCGTCTGGGCCTGGCTGTCGGACTGACGGCTCCGTGCTCGCCGTCGCCACCTCGTCTACCCCCCGTCGCCGCCCGTCGTCTGGGCCTGGCTGGTGGTCTGGCGGCTCTGTGCTCGTCGTCGCCGCCTCGTCGCCACCACATCGCCACCCCGTCGCCGCCTATATTAGACTGTAAACATAGATTGCACCACATTGATTGCACAACATAAATTGCACCACTTAGATTGTATCGCATAGATTGATCTTCGTCGATTGCACCACATCGACTGTACCACAATGATTGCACATCATAGATTGCACCACGCATATTGTACCACGTCGATTGCACCACGCATATATTCACCATATCGATTGCACCACATCGATTGCACCACAAATATTACTTCACATAGAATTCCCAACCAATATTGCACAACACATAGTTTATGTATATATAGATTGTTCAGTCAATCTCGGTGTATACATATCTATTTACACAAACCCGAAACCGGGGGCTCCCAGCCGCAGCGCACCAGGGGCACCAATTTTCGTAAGTGCCTCTCGCCCCCCCCGAGGCATCCCTGGTGCCTTCCCGGAGCCTCCCCGGAGCTTTCACGGCGACCCCGGAGCGAATGGGTGGCTTCCACAGGTCCCGGACGGGCCAACGTGGCCTCCCGATGGCATAAGAGACCTTTAAGACGACCAAGACGGCTCCAAGAGGACCATCCAGAGGGCCCGAAAAGGCAAACCACTCCACATTCTGTCAGGAAAATGCAGATTTGTTTTCACGTGCGCAGCGTCCAAGACGGCCCAAGAGGGCCCCAAGAGGGCCCAAGAGGCACCCAGAGGGCCCCAAGAGGGGGCCGGGGGGGGATGTGAACCCACTCTCAAGGCTTCCCGAAAGACCCCAACAAGTATCCAAGAGGTCTCTGACCAACATTCCAGGCACGGAGGCAGGATGGGCCGACGGCCACCAGTAGGTTCACATGTGGACGAGGGGCGCCATAGCCCCTTCTCTCTGTCCTCCTTTCTGTTTTTTAGTTTTCAGAGGCTCCGCATCTCCTTCTGCTCCTGTCCCTCCTTCCCGTTCTTCCCTCCTCGTCTTCGCCGTCATGCTCCTGGACTCTTCGTCGTCCTCCAGGAGACCTCCTTGCTCAGGAAAAGGTTCTTTATTACATGCTCCCGTCGGGTTTCCAGACTGACGTCCTTTCGGCAACCGTCGCCTGACCCTCGACGTCTCATTGAGCGTTCGTGTTGGTTCTTGTATATATGCGCACATACACACAATACAAAAACACACAAACACACAAGCATACGAGCACTCAAACACACAAACACACAATCACACAAGCACGCAAGCACGCACACATACAAGCACACAAACACACAAGCACACAACACACACGCAAAGACGCAAGCCCACAAGCACACACACATAAACACAGAGCACACAACACACACAAACACGCAAGCACGCACACACAAACACAAACACAAGCACACAGACACACAAACACACAAACACACACACAAGTGCGAGCACACAAACGCAAGATACACAAACACATACACATACACACAACCCCATAAGCATACAAACACACATCAGCACAAACACCCACACACATCTATGTGTGTATGTATGTATGTATGTATGTAATGTAATGCATGTATGTATGTATGTATGTATGTATGTATGCATGCATGCATGCATGCATGCATGCATGCATGCATGTATGTATGTGTGTATGTGTGTATGTGTGTATGTGTATACGCATGCATGTAATATCCATATGCATGTATGCATACATGTCTGCCTGCCTGTCTGTCTGTCTGTCTGTATCTACATACATATACAGAGAGAGAGAGAGAGAGAGACAGAGAGAGAGAGAGAGAGAGAGTGGGAAGGGAGGCCTGGGGGGCCCGAGGAACCCTGACTTGAGTACCCGGCCGCTGGCCCCTTCCCTGGGCGGCTCTTGGTCCTCCCGTGTATGTGCGGCAGGCTTTCAAGTTGCGCCCAGGCGGCCAGAGGTCGCCGAAATATCGTTCCAAGACGCCCAAGATGGCTTCAGGACGTCCCAGGAGGCCCCCAAGACGCCGCCAGAGGCCCCCGAGAGAACTCCCACGAGGGCCTCAAGAGGCAACAATGGCCCCATTCCCTTTCTGGAAAAGCGTATATTTTTGGACAATTTGTCTCTGGAGCTTTCAGAGCTTCAAAGACTGTCTGCGAGGCCTCGAAGATCTCCCCAAGACCGTCCAAGAGGCTCCCTACAAGGCTCAAAGACGGCCCAAGAGAACCTGAAGACGGCCCATGAAGGCCCCAGGACGGCTGCAAGAGAAAGCCCAGAAGGGGGTACCCGAACGGATATTTCAAGCCTTCGGCCCCAAGACGCCCCCAGGAGGCCCCAGGAAGCCGCCAAAAAGCCCCTCAGAGGCCCAAGAGGCCCCGGATGGGCCTCCAGGAAGCCCCAAGAGGCCCCCAAGAGGCTCCAAAGAGGCCCCCCCCCTCCTCCCCAGTCGCCTTGAGGCACTCATGGCGATCCCGAAGATTCAGAGAGGAGACGCGATGAACGGCCGTCCTGACGCGATCTTGGGCGGTCTTCGAAATCAAGGTGCCCCCATCATGGCCCGTTATACGTACATGCACACACATACGTATACATATGCACACATGCAGAACTGTACATACATATCTGTATGTACATAAACACATACTTACAATACACGCATATGCTTGGCTTTCTCATTCAACCTGGGGGGTCCCCCCCCGACGGGGGTTAACTTCACCTCGTCGTCGCGACGCGACAGGTGTCGGAGCGCCTTCGGCGCGCGGTGGCTGCCCGCGACGGGAGTCGATGTGGAGCTGTCGGCGGGGATGACGCCCCCCCGACGATTATAAAGACATTCGGAGTATGTATTTATATGCATGTATATATATATATATATATAAAAATAAATGTGTGTACACCTGCAGTTACACAACATACATTTGCGTATGTTTGTTCGATTGTGCATGGATATGAAAAATATATTTATAGGTGTGTATATATACACGGACATTACTGTATGTATACATATGTATGTACGTATTACATCAATGACATATTATACATATGTATATTCATATACATATATATGTATGCACATATGATATATAATAGATATCGGGGTAGACAGGGGGCGGGCCCATAACCGCGGCCACGGGTTGGCATGGGGGCGCCGGGGGTCCCACTGGCGCCCTCGTGGCCTCCACAGTGGCCCCGTGGTCGCACAGATATCCCCCAAAAATGGCACGATAGTCTACCAGACTGGTCCATCACACCCCAAGAGCGCCGACGTTTTTTTGTAAACAGCGTCCGAAGGCTCCCAGGCTGTGCCGGGACGGGGGCTCAAGAGGGAGAACATGCACCGAGATTTTGGGTTTTCCGCCCCAAGAGGCCCCCAGGAGGCTTCAAGAAGGCGCCAGGACGGCCCTCGGCAGGCTCCAGTGGGCGCCCGGGGCCCTTGGACGAGTGCGCCGAGAAGCCAAAAGGGATTTTTTCCACGTTTTGTCAATGTTCTCGTGGTTCTCTACGTTTCGAATTTCAGACAATCCAAGACGGCCCAAGAGGCTTCCAACACCGCTGCAGAACGGGCCCAGAGGCCCCCAGGAGGGCCCTGGGACGGCCCAACAGGGCTCCATGACGGCCCCAGGGGCGCCAAAGACGGCCCAAGAAGCCCTAAAGACGGCCCCAGTATTGGCTCAAGAGGAAGGCCCCCAGAAGCTGCCACGAGGCTCCAAGGGGACACCAAGAGGCCCCCACGATGCCCAAGAAGGCCCCAGAAGGGCCCTCAAGAGGCCAAACAACGGTCCCCTCAGAGACCCCGACGAGGCCTCCTTCGACATCCCTTTTAATATTCTCATAGCTATTGGCCCACTACCCAGGCACGGTGGCGAGATGTGTCAAATCAGAGGACAATCCAGTCTCGTTCGCACTCTCCCTGCGATACTTATCACATTGCTTGCCGCGGTCTTCTGAGCTCATAAGATTTGCCCCCATAACCTACGGATGGGGTTCTTTTTATTCCCCATACCCAGAGGATGGGGTTCTTGCTATTTTTCTGACCCCGCCGAGGACCCACCCACCCACTTCCTCTCCTTCGCCCCCCTCATTCAGACTCGTGATGATGATAATGCTGATGATGCTGATTATGGTGATGATGACGAGGATGATGATGCTGATGATGATGATGATGATGTGGTGGTGATGATGATGTTGATGAGGATCAGGATGATA